AGTGACAATGAAAATATAAGCATTCTAGAAAACCAATGCTACAATGCATTCATGAAAATGAGCATTCATATCAAATGAGAGAATATCAAGAACTAATGCTCTTTCAAAGAACTTTTTCACTTGCAGAACTCAGCAGCTGCTCATTTACTTTAACAGACTCTCTAACAGCAGCTAAGAATTTGCCCCTAGAATTACTACTATAAAAGAGTAAATCTGCAAGCACAGCTGAGTTTTACTTCTTTTCTGCCTATTTTGGAGCATTGTCACCATGAATTGGAGGTGATGCTTAGCTTGGAAATTATTTTGTTGTTCATATACTTGGGTATGCTGCCTAGGTACCTTTCATACCAAGACTGTCTTGATGTAAAGCTGGAACAATACAGAGCTGAATTAGATCCATTTTCTATCACTTAATATAGACTTCAAATTTGCCCATGGAACGTGTCCACACTAGACTGAGAAGAAGCCTCTTGGCAATACTGAATTATCATACTGAATTGCTTCCATCCATTTGCTGGGGCTGCCAAATTGAAATGATGCATGTCAAGGCAACCCCACGCTGAAAAGTAAAAGATAGCCTCTTAAATGTTCCATTTATAAAGCTTTTTATTCACAGTCAGATTTAGTATCCCCCCTGAAATATATCACTTTACAAATTGATACCTTGCCATTACAAGATTTCCACACCATATTCACTCAGCTTAGTAGTAAAAACAAGCTTTTGCTCTTTTCCCTTTGGTACAGCTGATGAAAACCGAGCAGTTCAAGGTCTGCTTCTTAGATCACCAGCACTAAGTATTCCACAGATCCGTAATCTTCTCCTGCAGGGAGGGTTAAAAGTCAGCAAAAAGGTAAACTGTTAGTTCTACCACTGAAATATTACAAGTGCATCATATTGGAAAGCAGAAATTGAAGGAGAAAAAAAAAAAAACAAACAACTACTACTGCTAAGGGTGCTAAGAGTGCTCTGCAAAACAAAAGCATCTTTCTGGACTTTCTGAAAGTTTCGGCAATAAATATCACTCAAATCAAGTTAAGACCAAAAAATTACACTGTCACGCTGCAGAACTTAAATGCACTTTTTTGCTAATATGTGCCACGTGGGATTCTAAAATGACACATAATGACACATTATATTTACTTTCTGTATTATTTCCCCATAACTGCTGTAGCCTAACACCTCTTGTTTTAATCACTGGCAAGGGAATGTCTAACTAAGAAACAATAAATAATAACATAAACTAATACTGCCCTGCTTTGACATCTTTACACCTCAGTTTATGACAGAATAACCTGCCCTGCCCACATTTGGGATGCAACCAGTTTCTTTGGCTTAAAATCTGCCAGACTTTCCCTTTTGGAGAACATTTCTGTGAAGCTTCATAATTCCTCCAGTTGCATCCTGATTTGCACATCACTGTTCAGCTGAAGTTCTTTGCAACTTCTGAATTGCAACAAAAAGTTCGCTACAGTTTCCTTACACTTCAGCTCCCTAAAGCAGCTCTACATTTGTAGCCAGCCATGTCTGATGAAAGAAGAAATCGCATTCTGACCAAGCTCTTTCATTTTTTATGGATAACTCAGCACACATGCCAGCTTGTAGTAATGCTAAACAGGGGATTTTTTTTTTCTAGGTATAAGGGTTTTTTATGTTGCTTGCAGTAGAGGAGAATCTGCATGAATTGAGTCAAAATGCAGTGAGATATTGCCACTTACACCACTGTAACTCCACCTGTGCTTCCAGTTACTGACTGGATTTTGCTGTTCATGACTTCCAAAAGCCTTCCTGTGGCCAACATCCAGTAGAAGCCTTGGTCTAGGTCTCTTCTAGGGCTGCAGAACCAAGTCCTCACCAAGTATGTCATTTACTATGAAAAACATCTTTGCAAAGGATTTCCCTTTACAATTGTAATGGTCTCAGCCCTGCAGTATAAAACCGAATTTCAGTCTACCCTCTTAAACCTAAGAAAACTCTGAATTCTGAGAGAATTTTGCTTGTTCAGCTTTTGTCACTCCAGATAAATAAATATGAGGAGATTTTCAATATAACTGAGACACTTAAAATTTTTGACAAAGCTTCATGCAAGCATCGATTTTCAAGGCCAGGGAAAAACAGGATGACTTAATAAAACATCCACTTTTAGTGATGTAGTTCTCCAGTAATAAAAAAAACTGAAGGAGTAAAAAATGAGCAGCATTGATGTGTTGACTTCCCAAGTCATGGCCAGCATTTACAAGGGTGGGAATTTAAGTCCTAGTAAAATTCCTCCTTTGTTTACAGCCACAGTAAACTCTCTGTCAGAGAGATGTTTTCTAGGAGTAGATCTGCAGAAGCTTTACACAGCTGGAAGAACACCTAGTTTCGCATTTTGTGACAGTAAAAAAATTTCTTTCTATGGCTAGGAAAGTTAATGCCAAATTGCTATTTTTATGCAGTTATTTGCCACCAACACTAGTGGGATTTAAAGTCTTGAGATGCATTTTCATTTCTCTTCTGAAGTGGTTTTTTTCTTGTAAGCTTGGAAAATTCCCCATCCAACCTCATATCAAATTCTAGTCACAGCTGATAACTCCACATGCTCTTACCAACCTCATCAGTTCCTTGGTGCAAAAACTAGAAAGCAAGAAAAGTTCCAAGAACAGGTTACCCATCAAATTGCCTGTATCAAAACAAAACCTCTCAAAAAATAATCACTTCAGTGATGTAAATAACACTTAGAATTCATGATCTTGTATTTCATGATCAGCCTCTTTCTAATAGTGCTGTTAGTGAATAACAAGCACATGGTGACACTTCTTAGTCTGGGGGGTGTTTGGGTTGTTTTGTGTCAGAAAAGCAAAGCCACAAATCCAGGCTATGAACAGCCACACTGAATGATTCAAGTCTTAAAAAGAAAAAAGAAATAAAGTTTACAAAATTGCATTTGTTATATCTACTTAAACTGCCCTATTACAAATGTCAAATACCTGTATATAATTAATTATTCCAGATGCACTTCCACCTCAGTAAGTCTTAGCTAATAGCTTTGCATTATTCTTGTTTAAACATTTACCAATGAAACCTGTGTACTTTACTGGACAATGAATTATGATCCTTTTCAGAAATTATCCTTTTAAAACAAAAGCTATAATTAAAGCTTAAGAGGAAAATCATGTAATGGAAACGTCCTTCAATCCCCTTTTAATTAACAGCTCTTTGCGTAAATACAAGCTGAGCTACTCATTTCCTCAAGACAATGCCTCTCAAAGCAGAGGATGTTATCTCCCAGAAAATTTCTATATTAAAGTGCTCTGGGGTTTGTGCCACTTTAGGCCACTTCTATCCTAATGTCTTCCCCCTTAGTCCAAAGAACACTCGTCCTTTCTCCTTTTTTTTTTTATTTTTTAATAGATGGGTTTGAGATTAGCATTTTGAACCTCGTGCTTTGCACATGCAGACCTCTACTTTCACAGCGAGCCCAGAAGTCTATTTATAATAGAAGATTATAAAGATAATAGGTAGAAAAATAAATATTTATAACAGAAGTCTATTTATAATAGTCGAAGGCTGCCATTTGCAGTCTGAAAGGAGTACAAGACAGGACAAACAGACTTCCAAATAAACTCTGTCCAAACCTACCAAGAGCAGAACTGCTTTACCCAAGTGTGCCATCTTTGGTCAAGAACACACTTCAGGGCCTTTTGCATTTTTAACCTTAATTGCACACACCAAAAAAAAAAAAAAAAAAAAAAAAAAAAAAAAAAAAAAAAAAAAAAAAAAAAAAAAAAAAAAAAAAAAAAAAAAAAAAAAAAAAAAAAAAAAAGAGACTTTCAAGTGCAGCAGCCCTTTTGTTTGGCATATCCATGACATTAACCCGGAGAAATAAAGCATTCTCATTTTAAGTTTCAACTGGTAAATGTTTATGGGCTTTTGACGTATACTCACTTAAGAAGTCCTGTGGATTTGAGGCAGTAAGGTTATATACCTACATCAAAATATATCCAAGTCAGTTCTCTTGTTAATTGTATTGTAGGAATTGCTATTTACTCAGAGTTTATCAGGAACAAATAAATTCTAGAGACACGCTATGTGTTTAATAAACTTGTCAATGAACTTTTACTTTCAAATATACATTTGTAGATAATCAGTGAGAGAAGAATCTTCATTTTAGTACCCAATTCAATTTAGTCCACATTCTGCACTGTAACCCTGTGAGGAGGGTAACCATGCACTGCACATCATTCATCTTGCAGCTATACTGGATTCTCTGTCCTTCTCATTTAGTCTTTAACATTTCAGAACCACTTTTATGGACTGCTACCCAAACTGCATTTTTGTGAACTAAACTGTTTTATTTTTCCTCCACAAGTAATTAGGTTACTGCTAATTGTCAAATAGGCTTTGGGCAGATAATTGAGCTTTGCATTGCAGTGTATTGAGAACTAAACCCATCTAACACACCTCCTTTCCTAAAGGGCTAAGCTTCACACTTTTGAGGAAAAATACAAGCGTTTGCAAGAAAGACCAGTGGTTTTTACCGCACCAGAGGACACTTTCCCTGATGAAGATTTGAGAAACACCAAGGGATGACCACACTCCCACCACCTCAGAGCACATTTCTCAGAGCATCAGCAGTAAGGCACAAGCACCGCAGCCAAAATTCCAGTCAAGTTCCTGCATGTGCTGTTTCCTAATAGCTGTCCCCAGCCTGCTCCTTTTTTTTGGATCCCACAAACTGCCCTTAGGGGATATCTAATTTTTCCATTGACTAGACATGGGGGCTTAAGAGTGGAATCCAGGCTATTTGCTTGTGGTCCTTGAAGCTCTGTTTTCTCAGAGGGAACAGAAGTAAGGGAATATGGCACCAGTTCAAGTTCAGAAGCTGAAAAGGAAACAGTTTAGCATGGTGAATAAACCTTACAGAACTCTACAAACACAGCATTTCACACAATGCTCTTTCATAAACAACCACAGACTGGACAGCATTGTTTGAAACATTTTAATATTCAGGAGATTAAGGACATATAAAAAAGTGTCAATAAATCATTCGGTAGTAAAAAAAAAAAAAAATGTAATTCATAGGAACTATAAGTAAAATATCACTAGTATTTATTACCAGCGAAGTGTATGTCAGGACTTTATCATTTGGATAATGAAATGTCACTCAAACATGCATCCAATGGCCCTTTTAGATACACATTCAATGCAGTTGCCTCAGTGACAAGTGTTCTGGAGAAAATACAGTCCTGTAAAATTCTTAAGTATAACTTAATCTGTTATACAGCACCTCTGTGAGATGCATGCAGTATGCAAAGCATTTCAAAATAAGAATTAGGTGTCCCTAATTTATATAAAACCGAGATTTAGTCCTTCTGTCTCTTTTTTCCTTTAGCAGGAGTTTTGGAACTATGTTCATTTTCGGCGTTTGGCTCCCAAAGTGCATTTTTTACAAATCTAGAAGCAGCTCCTTTATCGAGTCTGGATGCCTTTTTCTTGTCTGTTATTTCTTTGACCTTGTTCATGTATGTTCTTATTCTCTCCTAGGGAGAAAAAGAAAAAAAAAAAAGAAAAAGGGAAAGTATATTTCAAACCATTCTTCCAAGACTGCAGCTAAAATGAATCAATGCGCAAAAGTTCTCCACACTGCATACTTCTATAATACCTAGAAGAATTGCATCATTTAAATAAATAAATATACCAGGCTCTCTGCAAACTTTAGACATCCCCTTTAGCAGGTTTTCCATCACAGGTACCTACTATACCATCTGCATGACATGCACTGTAACAGGAACACAGAGTCCTGCAGAGATGAAGACTCTGCATCTCATCTACACTGAAATAAGAAGTGTTCTTGCAAGCAAAGTTAGAAAATAAATTACTGAACTCAGTTTGGAGTTTGGCCTACATAAAGATGGCAAAATAATATTTAGATATGACAGATTTATAGATGAAATATACTACCTACTGTCTACAAAAAAAAAAAAAAAATACATTCACCATGTCCAAGCAAAGTCAGAAAGATGTTACAAGCATTACACACCCCACACAAAAGTCTATGGCTTCAGATCCTGAAATGGTCAAGGGGACTTACCAGTGAACCTATTTAAGGCAGCCTGAAGAATTTCCAGCTGTACCAGAAATTTCCTTTACGACCATAAATAACAGAAACAGCCTGTTTCCGCTGCCATTCCATAAATCAAGGGGATACTTTCTTGCTATCTTTGCCTACCATAGCCATTTGGTGTCTATGTGGGGGGTTTTTTTGAGCAACAAATGGCTTGGGCTCAGCCCCACCCAAGTATACCCTCCCAGTTTAACAATCCTCATCCTCATCTACTCCTGAAATAAATAAAGAAAAATAGAGAAAATTAGCTCCTCTAAGATGGAAATCTCCCTCTGTTAAGTGCCTGCTTCTCTTCACTGACTTGAGAGGACACTTACAGTAACTCAGTAAAATATTTAACAGTTTGGTTGACAGATTTCATGTCCACATATTTAGCCTAATATGGCCTTCAGGTGTAGGGCCTTTAGGCATTAAATGTAATACAAACAACAGTAACACCTACCTACACAGACATGTAGCCCTTTACCTGATACCTGAATTATAAGTGTGGATTAACAGAACATATATGGCTACTGCTAAAATAAATGTTGACGTGCAACCCCCACATTTCTCACCCAGCCACCGCCATCTCTCTGAATCTGGGACAAAAGCTACAAGACCTAAACTGCAGAATCTGATTTTCAAGTCTTCAGCGATCATTGTAAGCAACTGTCAAAAACTTGGCCTCTCTGCCTGTGTCAAAAACACAGCTTTAATGAGGAGGGCTTTACAGGGTCTGAAATCATGATCGACTGTAATATTTCTTTGGTGGCTGAGATGGCTAATGAGAACAGATGGCAAACCTACATGTATCAACACGGGAAAAAGGGGCTGAAAAAAATGTCAGTGTGACAAAAGAAATGAATTCTGATAGCTTGAATGTGAGTTTTATTAATACAGTTTGAATCCCCGTATGTACACAAGGAGAGCAATTCTGAAAACAAAACAATCCTGACAGAACAGTCTTTTTTAATTCCCTTTCCACATGAATAAGAACATCACAATGCTCTTGGAAGGAAGGAATGTGCATTCATTCACCTTGATGCTTGCAAAACGAAAAAGAGAGCTGGATAAGAATCTAGGCTGTGATAATTCACTCATTCTTTGGAGTTAAAACGACTGGCAGTTGTGAAGTAAAATACCAGCATAAAATATCCACAGCATAAGAGATAAAATTTTTTAGTATCACTAAATTACCAAAATATTCAGACACTATGTAACATAGGAGGAACAAGAAACTGACTGAAAGCTCATGAAATATTAACTGATGTATTTTTTTAATATGATACAGTCTAGACTACTGAAAGCCTCACAAAAATTAAAAATAGAAATATTCTTGTTATTCAGGCTGGCTTTCCACATTTTGCAGTCCTATCTCCCATTCCACTGGTTATATAAGGATTACATTTAAGGTGAGTATTTCACAGCAGCCCGGATTTAATATTTCCATTTACACAGGAATTAAAATGGGTAGCGAGAAGTTTTGATTTCTATTTTTTCCTCGGGCTGAAATTATTTGATATATTTTAAGTCAGCAGAATTTTCGAGATAGCCAACCTTCTATACCGTAGCCATGCATCTAAATGGAATATAAAGACAAACCTAAAAGATTTATTATACGTTGTAAATATGTCACTAATGCAGAGTTACTGGACAATACACATACAACTGGTGCCAAAAAAGCTTTTAGCTTTGTTGCTGAACTGGATTCTTTACTGCTGAGAAAATGAATTAATGGAGGACTTGGAAGGGGGAGGCGGGGGGCTCTTTCCCGTCTTCACCAGTAAATCAACCACACTCTACTTTTAGAGTCATACAAAAGTAAGAAAAGGCAGCCTCGGAGATTAACATGATTCCAAGTATTTATAAGAAAAAAAAATGCCATACTGGAAGTTATAAATTATTATCGGACATGTAGCATTTTTCCATTTAACAGATACAAGTGAAAAGTTGCTCTGTTCAGAACCCAATTCTCAAACAAAGGTGGAAAAAAAGACAAGATAAGATGATATAATTCATCATCTTGTTTTTTTCTAATTTCAGCAGACTCTACAACTTTAAACAGTACTGTTTGGAACTAAAAATATTACTTTCTTAATTTAGAGAGCCCAGCAGGGTATATAAATAGTTATATAACACCATGTAGCATATGCATGCTATTATAGCAACATATCAATTTTAAATGTAGATATAAACATTTCTTAACTTCTATATGGGCTAAATGCCCTGAGCAAGACGCATGCAGTGTAAAGAACTTACCAGTTCTTGTTTCACTGGATGTTCCTTTGGATTGATTCCCTGAGTAGCCAAATATACTACAAGAAAAAAAACACGATTTTTTTTGAAACTGAAGTCTGTCATGACCGAGGGCCCAGTCAAGCAGTCATACAGGAAAACTGTAGTTTCCACATAAAATCATTACTAAGAATTGAAGCTAACTATGTTGTTAAGTATCTGGCAAACTATTATCATCAAGTGTTGCAGCTAAAAACCCCCCTGAATAACTAACACGATTAAACTTTCTGTCCTTAAAAGGCCAGAAAAGGTTGCCACTAAAAAACAGAAACATCCTCATGCGTGTACAAAGTCAGCTTTTCTAAATACAGATTTTTGATTTGGAGTTTCAACGTTATTTACCTTAGGGATGGCAATAATGTGGGTCCACATGGTAACCACAAGTTTTTAATTATTTGGCTAAAACATAGCCAAATAATATATAATTTAAATATAATTTAATGTTTGCAGCTGTCTAGGTGTTCAGATAGCAATCATAAATACTACTTTTTCCTCCTACCACATACTCACCCCAGAACATGGAATTCAATGCGTACACCGAAACCAAATCCAGCTTTGCTTGCTCAAGAGGGTCTAACTAGAATGAAAAAAAAAAAAAAAAAAGAAACCACACATTTTTAAGTAAGACGTGCACAGATTTTAGCAACATGTACATTTTATAATTGTGAATTTATCAGTCAAAAAATACACACTGAAGGAGCACATTTTTGCACAAGTTCACTCACACTATGTTTATGCCTATTTCCATGCCATCAGAGAACCACTCTCTCCTCTCCAAGTATTCTGTAATTTTCCCAGTCTGATGTTAAATGTCACAGTCCCACACAGCCAAAAGCAAAAAAAAAAAAATCTCTTGGCATGTAGCTCTTGGACCACCGTTCCCATAGCCAGAAATAAGTCCCTGTTTTTCCACTATAATTTAATTCAAAATAGCTGCTGCTACCAATGGAAGGGGAAAAAAAAAGTCCTAAGATTGCTGAAAAACTCAAATGTGAATATACAATGAATGAATGTTAGCACTATATCGTGTGTTCAATGCATGCTGGAATATTTAGGGACGTAAAGCAGAGGAAGAATAAAGGTAATGAGGGTTCTTTTTTTCCCCTTGACTGTCAAAGTCAATTTATTATTTCAGTCCTACAGGATTTCCAGAAACTCTGATAACATCATTGTACAGCTCACTAGTTCTAACATGGATACTGTCAAAAGATCTGTGTTGTCAAGACTGTTTTCTTCATAATTTATTTGTGTAAGAAATCCTCCCAGGATACAGAAGCTCCCTCATGTGCTGGCTTTTTCTTGCCCTACAGAAAAAAATTACACGTTAGGCTTTAAATGTTAAAAGAGAGAGAGGCTTGTATGAAGTTCTCAGGCAGTACCTTTATGCCCTGATAAAAAGCCACAATTTAGAGACTTATGCTTATAACATACCTAGAGGAGACAGCTCAGGCTCTGCAAGTCTAGACTTCTAGACTCAGATCAATCCTCACTGCTGTCAGCTCACCTCTGTACCCCCCTGGGTACACCAAGTTCCATTAAGTTTGTTGCGAAGAAGTCTCAGACAAAAACGTTGAGTGCCCTCTCCGCTATCAAAGAGCACTCACATGCACTTCAAGGAAGGTCAGGGATAAGCCAGAATGTCCTCTGCCTAAATGACTCACTGGTAAGATCATCACTTACTAGTTTGGAGGAACATGTGTTTCAGTGTTTAATTTTGTAAGATTATCTGGATATCTCAGAAATGTAAGAGTTTCGAATAGCAGGTATCAAGGGCAGGAAGTGTTCATATGTGTTACTGAAAACCTACCAGACTCTTTTATTTCAGTTCAGGTTCCCAAGTATTCCTGTATTAACAAGGAAAAGGTTTTCAAAAGGTAGATTATTTACCTTTTGCAGAAGCTCGCTCCTGGAAACAGACATCATTGTCTTCAGCATCTCATCTACAGAACCGAGAGATTTTTCAAATGCTGCGAGATAATCATGAATTTCAGTGGGGTATTCTTCTGAGTTATTATCATCCTCTGACATTTCCATCTGCAAAGAGGAAACAAAACTAATAATCCTTTTCATTAGGCACCTACAGAGTCAAAAGACTGTATTTTACAATACGAAGCATTAGCATTTATTCATTAAATATTATAAGAAATGCCTACTTGTGAAGAATTCTAGCAAGTAATGTCAACAGTGACACAGTTAAAGGTCCTATAATTTCAGGGATATCTCCTGACTGCTCTGCAAAATGGCATGAAGGAGCATTACAAATGACATGACTGTAGTACCTATTCTTGCAATGGTCCCAAAACAGTATTTAGCTTTTATGGTCTGTGATAGAAAGGAATTAGTTGCTTGTTTAAAAGAAGAGCTCTATAAATCACACTACATAAAGAGCAACACCAAGCAACAGGCAGGACACCAGGAAGGAAAAAGAAGAAAAAAAAAAAAAAAAACAGGGATATGGCTTCAGCCTGTCTTAGGAACAGACATTACTTCAGCTTTACAGTGGTTATTCAGCACCAGTTATGTCAGGGTCAGTCACATCTTCCAATGCTAACTTCAGCAGTTGGTCACAAAAATTCTTCTTGTGAACCCTGTATCCAGTTTTCTGAATTCTCCACGGGGTATTATAATCTGAAATACAACTCTAACCGTAACAGAGCTGAGTTGATTCCGGGATTTCAGAATACTCTGGATATCTTACAGACACGTCAATGCACAGCAACTGGGAAATAAGACGTGAAAAATCCCAAAGCGCCCCTTTTTTGATCCCAGCAGTTATAGTGCCATGGCACTGATTACTGCCAAGCCACCTGCTGGCTTATAATCAATATCTTTAATTCCTCTCAAATCATAAATCATGTTATCTTCAGGATTTAGTGTTACTCAGGGCTACGTTATTTTCTACAACTTCTGTGACTGAGCAACAACTTTTGGAACACTCTAAGGAAAGAAGAGAAGAAATATGCAATTTTCCTGCCCATTTGGTGAGATGCATCAAGAACAGTGGGAGCACCTGGATCACTGCAGTCTTTCCTACTTAATATGAGTGTGATAATCCCACTCCCCAGCTGCTGAGTACAGAGGGCAGGAAGAGGAATTGGAGAGACTCCACTTTTTATCTATGAACACAAAGCCACGTGGTCAGTGCAAACAGCAAACAGCCATCATATCACCGGAGTTTGTCTTAGATAACGATTTTATCTTTCTCTTTTCCTGGCAAGAGCGTGGTATGTGTGAGAGAGGTTTCTTTTTATTTATATTGCCTCTTGAAGTCAAAAAAAGAAACCAGCATGGAGCTACTCAAGCCTGTCTGCAACTCCAGTTTCAACCACACCAGTGTGATTCCAGAAATGTGATCAGCCAATTAACAAGCCCAGTTTCACTGCTGTTGCTTGCATAGTTCAGAGTTACAATCCTTCTCAGCTGCACGACTGTTCATCCTGGTCAGAGCTGGTTTTCAGGCTGAGTACAGAATCACAATGCCAACCACAACATGTGGAAGGTCCCCTCCCCATCCCAGCACGTAACCCACACATGTAAATAATATTTCAGCCAGCTGCAGCAGACCTAAGCAAGAAAGCTGAGCTGGACCTACAAGATCCTGCCCACAGAAAGAAAAAATACCACTGCAATTACTTCTGACATTTATGATAACACTGTGTTTAATTCTCTCCTGGCCACCTGCTCTATAATCACCCTTGTTAGGCTGATTAAAAGGGTTCAGAAACAATGTTTGTTGTTAACTTTTTGTCATATGATACAGCATTAAAAAAAACAAAACTCAAAGCAACAAAAGGGACTAGATTTTCCCACTTGTTAGTACATTTAAGTTTCGTCAGAAGGTGTCTGTCCATACACATTTCCTGTGCTTACACACAGAGGGAGAGAGATGTAATCCAATCCAAGAATAAATCTGCAGAGTTTACCATCACTGCAGCACTTAACCTGCTATGGTTTTAATTTGATGGACAGGCATGAACATGGTGATAAATTCCAACTTTACCCTCTCCCTTTATCAGTGTATCCAGCACCAGCAAGAATAAAAAAACAACCAACAAAAGCCTGTAGCAGGAATGTGCTATCAAAACTAACTTGAGCTGTTTTACAGCAGTTGCAAGCATAAAGTCACTAGAGGATATTTGATATTCTTTTCAGACCAAGCTAGACCTAAAGAAAAAGACAGAAGAAGAACAGGAAGATAAAAGGAAAGATAACAGATACAGTTCAAAGTACCTTTTGCTCTGATTGTTGTCTCATGAACCAGACAAAATGAAGTTTGTCCTCATATCACTAAGTATTCCCTTGACACTGTCAATTAGCAAGGAAAGGGAAAACTATGCTTTGGATTTCAATGGACTTCATTGATAAGTCTACTCCTTCTGCCCAGGGAGAACTTGTCGAATTTGTGTTTTCTGTTCATTTCAACAAGAACCGGCAAGTTCCTACTCCTGCTGTGTAGGGACCTCTCTCTTTTCATTACACTGTTGTTTCAGCATTACTAATCTCCAAGCAGGATATGTTACAGTGCTGGCACATGCCAGCAGCGAGGCAGCCTAAAATAATTCTGATAACGTGAAACCCAACAAGAATAAAATTACGCTACATTAGAAAACGTGTACACCGGAAACTCCACAAAGTTGTTGCTGCCAAAATCGATGCACAGGTTGCACAGTCACACCTGCAGGATGACAAAGCCAGGGATGGGAGGAACTGAGACCACCTCAGCGATTCTCTAAACACACTTCAAGGCTCTACTGCCCTCAGTAGTTATGCCTCAGCTATTAAACCACTAAGAAAACCTTCCTCAAAATGTTTCAAATGTTTCTCTATGTATTTCAAGCAAGCAAATATTTAGGTCAGTTCCTGAAGTTGATGTTTACTCGACGGGTTTTCTGGTTTGAATTTACTGATTTTCGCCCAGATTTTATTTGGCACAGAGATCCCACTTTAAAAATTAGGGATAGCAGAAATACTCAGATAAAAGAAGTAACAAAATCTTGCTGAGTAAGCATGTGAATAATGGGGAATTCTAAAGGAAATAAGACAGCATTTTCATTATCAAGCGGTAACACCTTTATTGCAGAACACATAACCTGCAGTTGTGTGCACGAAAGTAATATTTACAAGACCTTTCATTCTGAGAATGCAAAGGAAAGTTCACAAGCCATAAACATAAGAGAGAAGGGGCCTACTTTGATTAAGGGCACTGAAGCAAAAAAACAGTGATGAATAATGTGGTATGACTTCATAACATCAATCTACCAGAAACAACTTTGACTTTTTAACCCTGAGCTCAAAAACTGCCATGTAGTTATTGGGGAAAAAAACCCAAAAATATGTATTTGAGGAAAAAAAATACTTTAAATTGCAAAGGTAAAGCATTTTCATAAGAAAATTTATGCATCGCATTTAGGTCTGTTAAAAAATGTTCTACAAAATGAGTTTTTACACACAGGTAGAAAATTTCTGGATATACTGAAATTTCTAAAAGATTCCAAATAAACTCTCACGTATTCAGAAACATGACTACATTTATGTAAACCTATGCTTAGATAAAAACGAACACCTTGTTTTCTTTGCAGTCAACATATAAATATACATATAAACCAGAGCAAGTAATACACTGGAACCACAAAAAGGGAAGGGATGGACATTATTAATGAACCACAGAAAAGACAAAAATATGAAAAGGGAAAAGAGAAAATATGTCATCTTGTGCAGACTGTATAAAGAAGACCAAACAGGTGACAATCAAAAGCAGTTTGCTGTAGTATTAATGTGGCTATTGATCTAAAATACAACCAAATTCAATGCTGTATTAAGCAATTTGAAATAAAAACAAAATACAGATGGTTATGCACAATACAATTAGCAAAACTGCCCATCTTTACATTTATCTTCCAGAAGAATGAAAAGAACTGCAGACCTGTGTTAAGAAAAGCACACCCATGACTGGCATACAAAGGTAAGAAAAGGAAAAAGAGAAACTGCATAAAAGCATGTGGCTTTAAGAATATTTTTTTTAATATATCTGGTGCTTTAACACAAGCCTTAGAAAGTAATTGCCAGCTGGCTTAAAAAGCAAAACCAAACCTCCTTTCCTGCCCAACCCCACAGCTAAACTCTGTCATACTGAGAGACAAAAACTCTAATTAGGCCCTGGGCACCTCTATGAGAGATTCTGCTGAAGAAATATGGGGAAAGTAGTGGAAGCTACATGTGCCTGTCGACATGGCAATAAGAAACCCCTAAAGACAGAATTAAAACATGCTCAGTGTTAGCGTCATGCACACGGCTTTCAACTGGAATTAAAATTGCAAGTTCAGGATAAAAACTGTGTATTTGGAATATTTTGTAACGTGCAAACCTAAGACAAAAGTAATTTGGTATTTTAAGTACTGCAACTCACTTCACACTTCATCTTTATTCTTACAGATTCCCTAAGCACTAGAAGGCCTTGCCCCCATACTGAGCTCAGACCTTTAATTTTTTCAGACTATTCACTGAACAACAATCAGATTAGAGACTTTCCTTCTTCCCGTGGATATTTACAAATGACATAGACAGAACCAAAACCAACTAGAGAAAGCCAAAGCAAACCCCAGACCTTTTGCTCAGGGCATGCAAAACCCGCTCTCAAATTCAAAACAAACACATCAGCAACATCAAGAAGACAGACCAACTCTGCCAGCTCCTGAAAACTGGCACTGCTCTCCCTCTTGCGAGTCCTGACTCACAGCCTGCAGTGAACACAGTGGATGTGCAAGCACAGCAAAGGTGTCCCCTCTGCTCTATGCCTCTGAGAAAAAGTCTCTTGAGCTTCAAAGGATTTGCAAAGTTTATTCTGATCTGTCTTAAAAAGAGATTAAAATTTAAAGGAAGGGGATAATATTTTTGAGGCTCACCTACACTTCAGCCCATGGTGGATATCATGTGAGTTATCTCAGCTTGGCTCAAACAACCCACAATCACCACAACCCCATCTATATCTACACAGACCATCTCTGATGTAAACCTTCAGCTTGATCTTCACAATTCACAAAGCATTTTTACCCTCTGTAATCAGCTGTCCTAGATTCCACACCTTGGATGGCACAGTCATTTCCCCTTCTGAACAAAGCCAGTATAATCTGGCTCTTGTTCAGCTCCAGCCTGTCAGTAGCCCCATCAGTAAGTACAATGATAAAACCATCTTTCTTTAGGTATGTCCAGAACACTCCTCCCTGAGAGGTTTTCATTAAAGCTCTCACACTCAGACTATCCTGCCACAGCTCAAGGCTGGGGCTCTAAAGTGATGCTAAATTTGTATGTCTAAACTGGTCTTTAAAAATTACACTTTTGCTTGCACTATTAAAAGCATATTTACCCTTTTTTTTGTTGAACATAACACAGTAACTGTGGGATGTTGTGTTCTAAGCACTGTCTTCTAAGAACTTATCTCACTAATGCAAGAAAAAAAAGGCAAAAATCTTTTTTAACTGTATCCTAAACAGAATTTGAGAGCTGATAGCATGATGGAACTTCTAGAGAACAGCATGCATGGGAAATATTGTCTGTGTGATGGGGTAACTAAGCATGTCACATATCCCAAGAACCCTGTAGAAAGCCTCACAGCAAGCCTGGACGAAGGATGGAGAGAGAGCTACAGTGCAAATAGAGAGCTCAGATAGAGGTAATCAAGTCTGCAACCTCAAATCTTTCACAGTCTGTTATCCCACCCCCTTGGCACCATCTTTCAAGCTTCCCTCTCACTGTTACCACTCAAGCAGTCACCTGTGTTTCTTCTTTCTCAGCTGCCTTTTCCAGCTCTGGTGCTGCCACATGCACCAGCAGCTGTGGTGGCCATTACCATTCCAGTGCACTGTTTAATTATTTAGAGAAAAAGCAGACCGCAGACGATCCTAAAGTGATTCTAAAAATTTTAAACCACTTCAAAGAGAAAGGCACTTATCAGAAAGGTTTGTGTGACCTCTGCACTGCATTTCTGACAGGAAGGCTAAACATTCTATCAATTACTTTCAAGTTTCTCACATCCTGGAGCAGAGCCTCATGTCGAGCATTTTCTGTTTTCTTTAGCAAGGGTCACACTGCCATGGGATTAGCAATATCCAGGTATTTT